GCCCCCCCCTTTGCCCTCCACTTTGGCCACCCCAACCCCTCCCCTCCCCCCTAAATCTTCGCGCGCGCACCTGGGATCTCCAAGGCGCGCGATCCGGGCTTGCGCGATCCTAGCTCTCCCCGCCGATCCCCCGAACCACCCGGGGTTGACGGAGGGGGGGGCGTTTGGAAGGGGGAAACCCTCTCGGAAGCGCCACCCTCCTCGCCCGCTTCCCTTTAGCCAAGAAAGCGGGGATGCCTCCCTCCCCAAGAACCATCTCCTCCTGCCTCGAGATCCGGCAACTTCGGGGCAGCTGCGGACGCGGGAAATGTGCCCATCGCCTGCCTCGGAGGGGAGAAGGGGGAATCATCATTGGCCCGGTGGGGGAGAGCTGGAACCCAAAGGGGCCCTCTCTCCTCCCACCCACGCACCCCATCCAGCCCAAAGTGGAGGGCGATCCGGAGAGCCAGCCTGCCTCTCACCAGCTCCGCTTTCCACTCCAAGCGGATCCCCAGGTAGTGGAGGGTTCTGGTCGCGACTTTTAGGAAGGGTCTGCCTGGGGGAGAATCTTGGATTTTTTTGTAGGGTGGGCTAAATCTGTGCGGTAAGTCAATAGCAACTGAAGAAAGTTCCAAGCTGGCAAACGCAGGCCGAGATGGTCCCCCCCCCCCTTTCCAAACGGGGATTTGGAAATGTTTGGGTTTCTGTGGACTACAACTCTCAGAATCCCCCCAGCCACCCGGACCAGCGATGTGGGTGTTTGTAGTCCGTGCCCAAAACCCTTGGGTCCCATAACTTGAGGATATGCTAAGGTTGTGGAATGCTTCAGAAGAGCCTTACTGATACATCTCCAGATGTTTCACTGCCTGTGGCACAACTATGTGGCTTGTTTGGGCAGATCAGGATAAGTCTGATGTGATGATTGCCATGTGTTCTTGTGGAGGGACATAGAGTGTCCATCCGGTCAAAAGCTAGAAAGATCTGGGAGGGGCTGGCTGGAGTTTTGGATGAAGATGGTGGGATTGATTATGATATAGATGTGGACAAAGTTGGGGGGGGGGAAATTGGAAAAGCCAACTTCTGGGATTTCCATCCTTGCACCTTAAAAAAAAAATACTTTTCCAGCTTAAGGACAAATTCTAGAGGACTCACAAATTGTTGGTGCACTGTTGTGGAACTGAAGTTGGCCTCCTAAATGTGGTACCCACTGTTTATATCCTGTAATGTAATTATTATCTGAAGAATGGAACAGCTAGAATGGAAAGTGACCACCAAAGTATATTCGAGCTAACCTAGATGTGAGTCAGGCGACAGATGATGGTTTGGGAAAGCGGCAGATCTTCAGAGTGTTCCTTTCTTGGACTACAGTTCCCAGGGACCATCTTGGTGGATTCTGGGTGGTGTAGTCCAACAGAGTGATGTTTCCATGTGCCGGGAAGCAGGTTTTAAAACGAAGTCAAGAAAGGGGATGTGGTTCTAAAGACTGGTTTGCTATTGATTCGAGGTATTGTTAATAAAGTAAGATTTATTACCTAAGTGGTATCCTGTGGTCAGTGATGTCATTGTTGCGGAAGAATGAATGTTTTGATCATATCTCAATTAACCAAGGGTTATTGGCCATTTGATTCGATCTGGATATTTTAGAACTAATTTCCTAACAATTTGATTTTGACATTGAGCACAATCGGCTCAGCGCTATGCATGTTTGCTCAGAAGTCAGTCTTAGGTTTTATCCTGGGCCTTCCCAGAGCTGAGAGGAGTTCCTGGTTTGGACTACAACTTCCAGAATTCTCTGGATAGTACATTGCCCTGGGGGTGATTGATTGGGGGATGATGGCAGTCGTAGTCCAAAGTCTTGTCACTCTGTAGTTTGTGGCAGAAAAAGCCAAAGAAGAATTCTATAGCATCTTAAAAACTCTTTTATTTGACCTTAAACTATCATAACCCACTTTTTAAGATGAAGACTCCAGAGGGCCAAACTGGCAGTGGTAGAGACTTGCAGGATTGTTTTGAAGACAAAAACTTCCAAATACACAAAAAAGAGGGGGGAAAAGAGGGAGGGAGGGAGGGCAGGAGAAAGATAATGTGTTGCCCATTCTTTGAAAACAAAGCAAACATTAATCACTGTTTTCATTTTGGTTTGGTTTTGACCTGTGTGTCCAAAAGGTGAATTTGCAACAACTTTACACGGTTTTAGATTATTATATGCAATGTATTTGCAGGTTTATTTTACTCTTCTGTTTACAAGTGAATAAAGATACATGTAATTGGACATATACTTTTTTTTTTTTAAATAAATTTTATTAAGTTTTTTTTAACATACAAAAAGCCACAAGATACCAAAAAAAGAAAAAGAAAACCAAAACGAAGAGACGAAAAGAAATGAGAAAAAAGAAGAAAAAGAAAATCATATGGCAAAGAAAAAAAACAAAAAACCTAAATTACCCCTCTATCTAAAGTTCCCCCCCCTTGGAGTCAGAGATTCCAGCCTCATTAGTCCTCTGTTCTCCCTCCCTCTGTTTATAGCATATACTAATAAGTTTCTACATGTATCCTAAATTTCACCCTAAACTTTAGTCTTCTTCTGGGCCCAGAGATATATTAGTCCCCAGCTTTGTTTTACATAGTCTCTTGGCTGTTCCCGCAGTGCTTCTGATAGAGTGTCCAACTCAGCCATGTCCCATAGTTTCTTTAACAGCTCTTCCATCGTCGGAACCTCTTCTGTTTTCCATTTCTGGGCCCAGAGTAATCTAGCTGCTGTGATTATATACATAAGACAATGCTTCAGTTTATTATCATTTATACAGGAAATGACATTCAATAATGCCATTTCAGGTTTCAGCTCTAATCTCTGCTGTATAATTTCTTTTGCTAAGTCCCATACCTGTAATTGGACATATACTTTTAATGGATATTCCCCTGACTTTAATCTTGGAACAGATAACAGCGCAATTAACAAGAGCTGTGACTTTAGTCTTATTGAAGAATATAAGGATGGTTTTGGTGTCTCAGATAACTTGGAAACTGCCAGGCCCACCTAAAATTGTTTTGCTATCCATTTGTTGCTATTAATGAAGAAAGGAACTGCTACTCTTTTTTTTTTTTAAAGAAATGGAATTGTTTCTGCAGAAAACCCCCCACAAGCACTGGAAAATTTTCAGGATAATTTCTCACCCCTACCCAGACTAAAAAAAGAAAAAGAATTTAATTGAAAAAGAATCAAGTGCTTGTCCAAGGGAAGAACTTATTTAGCTACTGAACCACTGTTGTTTTGACTGTGTGGCAAGTTGTAACTCTTCTTGAACAATGTGTTCCATTGAAAACATTTGAAATATCAATGTATGAAAAACAACAACAACCCAGAGTTTCTCCGCTTCTTTGGAAATGAATCATCATCATCATCATAATGTGCCACCAAGTTAATTCTGACCATCATCATCATCATCATGTGTCACCAAGTTAATTCTGACTTCAGAATTTCAGGGCTTTCCACATAGAGAATACTCAGAAGTGTCTTACCCTTCCCTTCCTCTATGGGTAACCTTGAGACTGTGCAGCTTGCCCAAGGCCACCCAGGCTGGCTCTTCCCCCTAGAGGCACAAGTGGGGAATCGAACTCCCAACCTCTGGCTCCATATTTGAACCATTGAACTATCCAGCCAGGAAATGAACCAACAGCCAAATAAGGTGTGGGTCGACTTAGACATAAGACTCTCTGCAGTATGTGTGAATTGCTTGGGATTGGTGCCTAGGTGTTTCGGAAGACAGTTTTGCATTGCTGCTGCCAACAGCATAGCAGTCAGAATTTTGAAAGGGTGCTCTTATGCCTATATACTGTATAATGTGTGGAAGGAGAAAATCTGCAGGTTTGTGAGTGTGGAAAGTATTGTGGATCAAATAAGTACAGCAGAAGGATAGCGAGAAACAGAAGGTTTCATGTAAATCTAGCCACTATTGATCAGCTTTTGAGAAGCAGAAATCTATTGATCTCCATTGACGATTCTGGGAGAGTAACTGTAACTAGTTACTGGGTAGAAATAATCACTGTTCATGCAAGTTAAGCGACTCTCTCACTCAAAAAGCCATTCTGTATCTGCTTCCTTTTATCTTTCCCTGACATGTTCTGTGCTTGGATGCTGGCATTCAGCACTGATCGCCAGTGCTCTTGTCTAAAACATCGTATTTAGATCTTTGAAGCGTTTTCCATGGCTTGCAATGCTATGATGGACTTTGTGTGTTGCAAAGTCCTCGTGTATCGCTACAATAATTGGCACTGCATTTATTTTTGCGAACTGCCTGATGCACAATGCGCCTTGGGGAAAATGCGATATATGAAGAAAATTATGATGATGCTCAAGACGAAGGCTGGTGCGACTCAGTTTGGGGAGTTTTTCGGGGTGGGGGGGGGGGAAATCAGAACAATAAGGTGGTTCCATGGAGCTGAGACTCACAATCAAGTCCTGCTCTCATGGTTGGGAATCTTCCCTGAAGGAGAGAAAGTGATCTGAAAGGGGGGGGGAAGGACCCCTTCCAAACTCAGTTGCCACTCCCATCTGGAGTTAGAGAATCCCTTGAAGGCTCCTGAGGCTAGCAGAGATATTTGAATCCTTCTGTAGAACAGGAAACAGGAAAAGCTACTTTGTTAATGCTTTATAGAGAGACTTCCATAGTTTAGCTCTTTGAATAAATTATGGACTGCAAGGAGAGAGGAAGTATACATTAAAAAACAACAACTAAAGAGCATGCTTGCAACCCAAACAGACTTTGAATATAACTAAGCTGTTAAGTTCATTTCACATTCACCGGGTAGACATGTCCTTGATGGATGCTACGTTTTTAAAGATACCCTGGAAACTTTTAACGTCTTGGCTGAAATCCAGTAGTAAGCAGGGACTAAAGTAGTCCCATTGAATCAGTGGAACACACATCTGTATTGACCCACCACATCCCCACTGGTTCAGGTTGGCAAATCTTGTTTTTGTTGTTTAGTTGTTTAGTCGTGTCCGATTCTTCGTGACTCCATGGACCAGAGCACGCCGGGCCTTCCTGTCTTCCACTGCCTCCCGGAGTTAGGTCAAATTCATGTTGGTCACTTCGATGACACTGTCCAGCCATCTCGTCCTCTGTCGTCCCCTTCTCTTGCCTTCACACTTTCCCAACATCAGGGTCTTTTCCAGGGAGTCTTCTCTTCTCATGAGATGGCCAAAGTATTCGAGCCTCAGTTTCAGGGTCTGTCCTTCCAGTGAGCACTCAGGGTGGATTTCCTTCAGAACGGATCGGTTTGTTCTCTTTGAAGTCCAGGGGACTCTCAAAAGAGCCTCCTCCAGCTCCACAATTCAAAAGCATCAATTATTCAGCAGTCAGCTGTATTTATGGTCCAGCTCTCGCTTCCATACATCACGACAGGAAAAACCATTGCTTTGACTACGCGGATTTTTGTCGGCAGGATGATGTCTCTGCTTTTTAAGATGCTGTCGCGGTTTGTCATCACTTTCCTCCCAAGAAGCAGATGTCTT